CCAGATCGGTGATGGATCACAACATAAGACGACATTCACCAGTTGCTTTTTACTTCATTCGTCAACTTGATGGATGGTCATGGAGAGAGCTTCGACGAGCACATTGATAGGAATGTATAAAGCGTTACTACTATCAGCTGTTTGGCGATCGTGATTGTGATAGGTCGCAATTCTGCCGAGGAGGTTGGAACTTACGGGTATTTTATCAGGGATATGTAGCTCTAGTCAAATGAGTAATATCTTTTACCAACGCTGTTGGTTTTCGGACCAACGGTACTTCAAGGGTTATTTCCAGAATTATAATCACCGCAATGAAACACAGAATGAGGGTGTTGTTAAACGGTTGATTTTAATTTTCCTGGCGGGGAACAAGGTTGTACATGAATTCTGTTAGTTGTACATAATTCAGTAGCGTGTGTGAATTCATATTTTAACATGTTCCTATGTTGGTTATTGCATAAGTGGGTGTAAATGTATGTCTGCACAATAAGTTGACCGAAAAGTTGACTTACGTTTAGTCCCTTACGTTCAGTCCCTGTCTAGTCAGATCGTGTATTTTCACTGACGTCGCTGTCTACAGTTAGCATATAATCAATGTTTAGCATAAGTTTAACTGAACTTGCCTTAACGTCATTGTGCAGTTTGGCAGATAAATTTAGGTTAGGCTCGAAGTAGGCGGTAAACGACGGAATGCCATGCTAGATGTTATTTCATTAATTTCAATAGCTCTACGCAGATGCAAAATAATTACCTAGTATTACGTCAGCAAACACTAATCGTAGGCTCCTTTAGTTTAAAACACTAATTTAAGTTAAATTTAAGTAGTTACTTGAAATAAGATTTCTCTGCACACTCTGTTTTGCTGAAATTGTGTTTTATGTTTTGTTGTTATTCCTTATCCTACTCACACAGCCGTTGACACTACCTGGCATGCCGCTTTCCGAACGTCTGTTGTATGTGTATGCGTGAGGGGTCGTCAACAGACGCTTAATAATGATTTAATCGCTAAAAAATTTTAATAATGCGGTGGAAATAATTACACTATATCCAATACAAACTGGGTTTTGTTTTTATTTACAATACCTGATAACAGAGAGCTGCGAAATTGATACGGTGTTCAAAGCAAGCATAGATTCAAGCAAAGATATCTTATTAACAAGATATCCCACTGATCAATTCCTCATACAAGTCATATAATGACCACCCTTATGTGATCGCAGTGCCATCTGTTGAGTTCACATTGAAACTGTTGGGAGTTCCCCGCCAACTTCACCACAAGGGCTCATTAACTGACAGGTGTCAGCATGACAGATGTCAACGTGGACGTTGATGATCAGCCGAGGAAAGACGATAACATCCTCGAAATCATCATCATTATATTGCGATAGCAAGATTCTGATTACTTGTTTGTGATTGCTCCGATTTTCAATCATTACCACTTTATACGCAACAGAAACATTTGAGAAAACAATCACACATCCAAGCGCGCATCATGATGTGCTTATAATATGTTTTGCTTTCGAGCGAAAGAGTTTCCAATACCACCGGTATCAGTAAGATGCAAATCTCTAATAGTAATTGATGATTTGCGGAGCTGGTGCCCAAAATAATCTTAATAAGCATAGAAGTAAACATGGACAAAAGATTCACTCTCTCTAAAGAATTATTCCTAAACCCCAGCCACTGGAAATGAAACGCATCGAAATCATTGCGAAACGTTATAAAATATGCCGTCTTCTTTGGCCAACGCAGCACGCATTCTATTCAAAAATAACGTTGGAATAATCATTACTTTCCTATTTTATAACGTAGAAAGTATTTGTCAACGCCGGTGAAAGCAAACGCAAACGGAAGTAGCCGAAGCTGAATGATGACGATGAGTGATGACACCACTTCGTGTTTTGATTTGCGCTGTGCCGTCCGCTCAGTTATGTGGGTACGTTCATGTATAGATGTTGGTGTGCGTGTTTTCTTCCAACGCTGCAGTTCAACGTTTCTCGTCACAAACCATTTGGCGCTGTTATCAGTCTCTATAAATTCCGAAGAGTGAAGGGGGTCTGATTCAAGTATAACTACTTTGTTGAAAAAATGTATTTTAGGCTTAAAACGATGGAAGTGCATCTTTCCCCAACGGTGCATCCCAAGTAACATTTTAAGTTTTATGAAATACTACAAAGCTACTATAAAACAACATTCATAAAACCCTGGTCAAAATTGCTTTGCCATTGATGCATCCACCATAACCGCATTGATGCTAGAATCTGTCTAGTTGGCCCACCCTCGAGAAGGTTCTGAAAGGTATATTTTCGCAGCTCTTCAAGATTGATTTACTGCAAAATGGTTGTACGATAAACGCATTTAAATCCATTTCAAACCCGTATTTAAGCTACAATAAAAGCTATTTGGCAACAATTCAAAGCATTATCCGAGCCATTTACCCTAGTCACTTGCTAAGTTCACTAAAAAACAACAATCAAGATAAAAAAGGATCCATAAATACCATCCGATCTCATCAAAATAATTAAAATAAAAACTAATCGTATAAAAATCCTGCCGAATTTCCAAAACAATAAAATAGTTTTCATGAAGTGGCCTAGTTTTAGGTGCCATATAAAATTTGATGTGAAATGTACGTGAAAACATGGAAAAATTTGTGTCCACACACGGAAAACATCGATTTTACTAATTATTTACATTAAGAAAATAAAATATATTCTTCAGGTCGATCATTAAGCTTGGCCGAGATTTTAGTTTCTCAAGATTTTTGCATTCTAAATATTTCTCATTGCTAAATTAACTAAAATAAAGTTATATCCAAGGAAATATAGATTGAAAATCGAAGATTGTAAAAAAACAAACAAAATAATTGTAATATGGCGAAGGCATAAAAGTTGATTTTCATGGGTCATTTTTGACAAAGTGATTTTGTTTTCAAGAAATCCTTAACAAATTCATAAGGTTTTGAATTGGCTTTTATGAAGAAAACTTGAAGCCATTTTGCTTGATCTCAATCCGTTCAGATTTATGGTAGCATTGATGGCGGCAATGTTCCCTACAAAATGTTAAACGTTCTTCCAGGCGATTCTCTCTCGATGGCTTGGAAGCAGTTACTCAGAAAGTGTTCACAACATTCCGCATTTCGCACAGCTGTAACCTCGATCATTTCCGAAAAGATCCCCTTCTTCCGGATGGTTCTGGAAGTGCACCATCAAACGATGCAGGAATGTACGGTTGAATGATTTTTTTTCCAAGTGATGACCCTTTCGCCGAATAAAATCGCAGCTATGGATCGGTAACCAACTAGTGTCCGCTAACTGACAGTTTCAGTGGTTTGCTGTTGGTACTGACGCAAGTTATTCCGATCTTCAACTATTCGCAAGGTCTGGAGAAGGCTGGTCTGTTTTCAGGCTGTTTGACAATGTTTTACGAATTTGAGGACCACGCTCACTTCACTCTTCTCCACCAGATGTTCAGTCGTTGATGGTACCTGTTCCGTCGGACGTGCTGTTTCTTCTAAAGAACTAAATTTTACTGAAATCGACTTCCCTTCGGTCGTTAGCATCGCTTGAATTTTTCCTTCAACTTTGTTTATCCTTCAAGATATCCTTGTCATAAATTTGGTTTTTATTCACTATGAGGATCCATCCTTAAAGTTCAATTTATAAACAGAGGAAATTTTATGATACACTTTTAAAAGTCTAAACGGCAACAATATATGTCTTTTTCTCTCATTTAAAACCTTATGGTTTTATGATTGCTTTAATAATGATAAAACAGTTTTGTTTGTTTTGTTGGAGAGACGATAGAACAGTTTTATAGAGTATTTTATCAAGACATTAATAAAAAATTGCTAATGAATTTATGATTGATTTAAAGAACAGTTTTATGGTGGGATTGAGAACTACTTTAAATTTAATTTAAAAACAAGACAGTTTTTGACTTCTCGCCAAACTGTAAAAGGTTTTTAAAAAAGCGAAATGGTGAACTACTAAGCAGGAACGTTTTACACTGTGAAATGCTGTATTTAAACTAAATGGGTTTTTCATTGCCATTATAAAACCATCATAAATCAGAGTGGATGCCAAATGGTTGCAGAATTGTTACTTGGGATGTTACCCCAGGTACCCCTACAGGGTAAACGCTCCTTTAGGTGGTTCCGAGAGCAGCTGCCAATTCCATTTTAAAGAGTCATATCAAATTATCTTCTGATCGCTGTTCACGAAGAATGAAGAATGAACAATAGGTGAGAGAAAATGATAAAATCGTTTTTTGCGACTCTCATTAAGTGAAATGGTCAGTTTTCTTCTGTCAAACACAAACATTACAACCTCCCTCTGCTTGCCACTTACTCCAAAAATTACTCCATTATTCATTTGATTTGACAGAACCACAGAATCAAGATATTCGCGGTACATTTACATTACACTGAAGTTGTCATCATGTTCCTGGCTTGGGCAGGTCCTGCAAAATTTATGTCACGAGATGATGTTTTGACTGCAATACATTTGGGGAAACAATGTTCGAAATTTTAAGTAACATAAATGTATTACAAAATGTAGTTGAAGATGCTAAGATTTCAAATAACAGACTAGAGTGGTTATTTTTATACGATAGATGAGGAGACGAAAGTATAGAGTTGATAGTTCCGTTAAAGTACGGCAGTGTGAAATTGTTTATATAGAAAGTAGAAAGCAAGCAAGGACAACTTTTATGAATGAAGGTACAAATCGGTTTGATCATCTCTCTTTACCAAACTCCCCCGTTGGAGAGGGATGGTGAGGGGTATTCCCCCCGCCACCACTGGCAAAAACAGATGATCACCGACACGCTCAAGTACCGACGATGTGTTTGAAACAGTTCTATCGATTTTTACCGCACTCAAGTTGTTATCTGAAGGAAGGCACCTACGACTGGATGCCTACATCCACCTATCATTAAATTTTACTATTCATCAATAAACAAACCATTCCTTAACAAAGCCTTACTTCCAATCGTTTCAGGACACAAAATCCAACCCGGAAGCAACTGTCGCACTGCAAATGGTCACATCATCACTTGGCATATCGCTAACTAATGGAACCACCGTGGCAGCCGCCACTCAGTAAGTCCACCGCCCAGCAGCTTATGAGCTGGCCTCTGAGGTCTCCGCCGTTTTAATCTTTCCCTAAAACACTACGGCAAGTAGCCCAACTCCAATAAATGCGAACCAACCTGCAGCGTGGACTGGATCGGCATTATTTGAGTATACGGTCTTAGAGCTCTATTTTATTCAATGCATAAACTATGTAACATAATAGTAAAAACTGTTTCTGTTTCTGTACTATTATAGTAGGGTTAAGCAACTACTTTTACACACGTAGCTATATTGTACAACACATGACCCAACAAAAACAACACATCAACTGTTCTTCTAACCAGTAAACGAAAAGTATTTCCCACCGCCAAGTCGGTGGGACGACGAGGAAAACCGAATTCCGGGGGCAAACTGAAAGGGTTTTTCGAAAACAAAAAAAACATGAGAAATTAAGAGCTTATGGACGATTCTGTTTAATGTAGTATTTTTGCCAGAAGATATTTAAGAAGTTTAGTTGATTCGATTCTCGGTGGATCCCGTTGAGGAGTAATCCGGAAGAATCACTTAAAGTAAGGTAGTTAGGAATGAAATTAAACTAACCCTATGTGGTTTTGTTGTTACTGAGGAAAATAAAACAAAAGCCGACCAACCATTGTAACTTACATTATCGGGAGTGGTTTGAATTTCTCTGAGAAATGACGAAGTAGATCAAAACAGAACTTTCATGTACATATCAAAGCAGTGATCTAAACAGATGAAACCTGGTACAGCGATTGGAATGTGGAACGCAACAAATGTATCCTATAAATAGTAATAGAAACGAAGATATTTACGAACAAATGAGTGTAAATACCAAACTAAACGTAAGACACGACTATCAACTTTAATCCCATCACTTGTAAAAAGAAAGAGAAACAAACATAATCAAAATCAATTTGAGTGTCTATCTAATGAGTTGAAGGTTGCGTTTCACTTTAGTGTCCCCTATTATTAGAACTGTATGGCAGGATATGTCTATCTTCCATCGAAAAGCTTTTGACAGCCAACAATGAATATCAATTACACAGTGCTCTTGCAGAAAACCTAGAGGCTTCCGTAACCGCGCGCGTTCCGCTAATTGATTATGATTAGTGACACGCATACTCACACATAGCACTCAACACAGACACACGTTCGGCAGTGAATCGAGTTGTGAGTTGTTCAATTAGATCCCCACTGACAGGTGCCATTGTACGGCTTTCGAACGTATCCATCAGCCGGTATCATTAGTTACGTCAATGCTTTCTTATCCCTGTTTACGTCTATCTATGTATCTATCTAGTAGCACTCTATAGAAATCAACTTACAGCCAAACTGCGCTACGATTAAACATTAATGAGTTCCGGTCCGAATCCCGCTCCAGTCCAGGTCAATGGCTGTCACTCAACGCCGAAATCGACCAGCACCACCAACCACCACCATCAACTGCGGCCCCTAATTGATAGGGCAAAGTCAAACCGAATTAGAGATTCATTAATTTTGATGAGTTTTGTGCAATTGGCCCCCGCGACACTTTTGCCTGCTGGACTGGAGTGACCCTTTTAGTACGGTATAGTTTAGTGAACGGCACCAGCTCTCGAAAGGGGGTGTAGATGGACTGATCGGGAGATAAAATCTACATATTTATTGTGTTAACGTATTGTTATGATTATCGCTATATCGCTCTACTAGTGTTACTATGTATGCAGATACCTAAATCTGGCATGTGGCTGACAGACACAGCTTAATTTACCGTTCTAATATTAAGTTGAGGCGATTACGGAGACAGGTAGAGTATTATTGAACACGGCGTACATTTTGGAGTGGTGTGAGGTGTGGCTCAAGTTAAATGCGATAATTAAGTCAGTTAAGGTGTTGTACTAACAAGCCTGAGAGGGCTTGTTCGATTCCCAGTCCAATATAGGCATAATTTCGGGTTTGAAATTTTCTTGACCCTGCTAGTCATTTATTATCATATTGTTTTGCCACCCAATAAACAAATTCTTGCATTGGCCGGCGTAGATTTTTTTTAATTGCTTTATTTGCTCACACTCAATCGAATGAATTTTACAGTGGTGATGATTTTTCTGCATTATACAAACACTACAATAAATACAATAAATCTTAAAACTACATTCGAGAATTTCTATACAAAAAACGAACCTATGACAAAAGGTCGATAAACAAAATATCGAAAGAAAAAAGGTCGAAAGACGAAAAGTCAAAAGACAAAAGATCGAAAGGAAAAAGGTCAAAAAACAAAAGGTCGAAAGACAAAAAGTTAAAAGACAAAAGTTCGTGAGGACATAAAATTGAAATGACAAAAGATCTAAAGGACAAAAGGTCTAAAAGAAAAAAGGTCGAAAGAGTCAAAAGGTCAAAATCCCAATAAGTTTTTTTTTATGATTAATTAATTAAATGTAAGCACTTAGATTTTTTGCCGAGAATGGCTGGTGCCTGGCTCGCCATTAATTTTTACTGAGATCTCAGCAAAATTTATGTCTGTTAGCCGAGATCTCGGCAAAAATTCCCGTTTATTAACTGAATATTGGCAAATTTTTCACTGAGATCCAGCAAAACAGATTGCCGAGCTGCTTGGCGGTGCCCATCTCGGGAAAAAATCTAAGTGCATAAATGGTTTTAATATTACTTATTATATTTTTGAGAATTGGTTTGAAGTAATGACAAATCAGTTTCAGAATATGAACATCAGCTTTTGTCCTTTCGACCTTTTGTCTTTCGACTATTTTTCATTTCAGCATTTTGTCCTTTCGACCTTTTGTTCTTTCGACCTTTTGTACTTTTTGACTCTTTGTTCTTTTTGACCTTTTGTCCCTTTTGAGCTTTTGTTTTTTTCATTTTTTGGCTATCAACCTTTTGTCTTTCGAACTTTTGTCTTTCGACCTGGTGCTTTTCAACCTTTTGTCTTTTGACCTTTTTTCTTTGGACCTTTTAACTTTCGACCTTTTGTTCTTCCAACCTTTTGTCTTTCGACCATTTGTCTTTCGAACAATTGTCTTTCGACCTTTTGTCCTTCCCACCATTTGTCTTTAGACCTTTTGTCTTTGAACTACATAAAACACCTTATCCTCAGATATCCAATAAGCTTCCTCCATCATAACAAGATTCTCTCTCAGTATTTTCCAGATATGACAAATATGACAAATTACAAGAACTTTTTAGAAGTTCCGAGGAATTAATTATGCGAAGTGCATTTTAGGAATGTTCCGAAAACTTCAGGGACATTACGGGGCCTTGGGGATGTTTTATGAATATCAGGAAAAATCTTAGGTCACTAGAAAATGTAAGGAACTTCAGCGAATATTTAGCTAACATCCCCCAGAAATCACTTTTTCCGCAATGTTTTTTCCAACTTCTCCTTGGCTTCCGACTTTCTCCAGAAGTTTCTTCCAATCTACTTAAGGAAGTTTCTCCCAGCGTCTCCAGGAAGTTTCTTCCAGCGTATCCAGGAAGTTTCGTTCATCTTCTCAGGAAATTCAATTAAAATTCTACCGAATCGATTTCTTCTCTGGAAATTTCTCCATAATCCATTATCGATAGGTTTTTTTAGATTTCTATTCGAAGGTTTTTCCGGGCATTTTCTGGTTTCATCTGGAAATGGCTACTTCTGGAATATACTACTGATTTATGACACATTACTGGCTTCCTATGAATGTGTCTTCCGGTTTGTTCTGAAAGTAGCTTTAAATTTTCACCAGAAGTTTCTCAATATTTGTCTTGGAAGTTTTTTGGATGTTTCATCAAATTTTCTAAGAACTTTCCTCCAATTTCTCCAGAAGAGATTCTATATTCTTTCTGTGGAAGTGTTTCCGGCTTCCTTCAGAAGCTATTTCAAACATTCTCCGGAAATTTCTTCTGATTTCTCCTGGAAAATAAATTTCGCAGTCTTAATCCAAAAGTTTTAATTTTTGCCTCAACAAATGGCAAAAATATAAAATAAATTTAAATAGGGGAATTTACGTATTCTCGTCAATCTAAGCAGCGTTCGAACTTCTATTAGCGATTTCTCAGCGTCACACACATACATGACAGGTTTGTTTGTTGACATTTATCTGCTTCTTGCTGTTCTACCAATTCCAATCGACAGAATTGATCAAAACGGGTTGAACATGTTTTTACAACGCTCCAAACTTCTCAGGTGAGAGTGACTATTGTCGGCCGGCTCTTTTTCTTCGGCACCCTTTCCATTTGAACTGCGTGTTAACCAGCTGTTCTATTATCGGCAACTCGAAATCAGCCGTATTTTGTAGTATGTATATTTCATTTAATGAAAAATATGGTATAACAGGAATCCACAGTCGTAAAATGCAATCAGATTTAAGCTGAAAAGGTAAGGAATCGGCTTAATACATTCAGCGAAGAGTTTTGATGGGAAAATACAGTGAAATAAACGTTTCAATTTCGGTTGCCGAAAACAGTCAATGGGTGCCGAAGCCATAATTTACCCTACCAAAAACCGATAATATCGATTTTTTTATAAATTCGAGGCCAATAAACTTGAAAAAAAATTCTGGTAACGCTGCTGGAATCCTCTGCTAAGTTTTCTGGTATTTCTGCTCATGGTTTTGCAGGGGTTCTTCTCAGAATTCTCCTATAAATTTTCTGGAAACCCTCTCTCTCTCTCGCTTTCTCTCTTCAAATGTTCCTCCGAAATTTGCTTTGAATTTTCCGAAAAATTCATTCAAATGCTCCAAATTATGTAGTCCAGAGATTCATAGAAACGCTTCTGAAAAACTTTTAAGAAATTGATTACAGCATTCCCTAAGAATCAAAATTCATTGCAATTCTCCCGAAAGATTTCAAGGGGATTTTCTTCAGCATTCCCTAAGTATTCTTCCAAAATTCCATAGCAATTCTTCTCAAAATTTCCTTGGAATGTTCACAGAATTTCTTTTGGAATTCTTTCTAAATCTTCCTTTGTAGAATTGAAGTTCACTTTCTGAAAATTTTAAGATTCAGACTTTCTTATACTGCCCATAATAGTATATCAATCCCATCTTAAAAGACAGCAAGCCGAGGAAAACAGTGTTGAACATTTATTTCTTCGTAGGTACTTATGGATAAATCATCCTATTTTTGGTATTTTTCACGATATTTTCTGAACAATAAAATGTTAATTATAGTTAAATTTATAATCAATTCTAATGGATGACTCATTCCTGAGAAAAATCCATATGGGACTGTTATTGTTTCTATGGGTAGTATAATTGTTTATTATGTTTATTAATTAATTTGATGACGCTCAATCGAAATAACTTTACAGAGCCGAGGATTCTTGTTCACTATACAAAACATCTTAAAACTATGGTCAAAAGGAACAACACCATAAACACTTTATCTTCCGCTATCCAATAAGCCCCCTCCATCAGATCGGGATCCGTTTGCAGGGATTTCATTGAATGGCAGTATCGCAAACGGGGGGGGGGGGGGGGGTCAAGTAATTTTTCCCAATATTTTTTTTTTTATTTTCGGGCCGGTAAACTTCCCTTAAAGTCAATATAAAGGGAGTCTACTTGCTGACCCTTTTTGATGCTACCAATAAGAATATCATAAAGTTGGATATCGTGGAGCGCTTTTCCATGCATCCTTGCTGAAACTCTGTGAATATGGATTGAACAGCTGGGAGCAAGTGGTAATGTACAAGGCTTTCGAGAACTTTGATCATACAGTGACAGTTAGATCGTGCTATGATTTATTGAAAAATATCGTGAATTTTTAAATCTCTAGTAAGATTAAAAATGGCCGAATTTAATAAAAAAAAAAGCCTCTATCAAGCAATTGTGCAAAGTTTCATGCGAATCGGACAATTTCTCGTCGGATCAATTCTTCAGTTGACGAGCAGCAGCTCGTTCGACTAATTTTTATTTCGTTGCTAACGATGTTTTTAATCAGTTCCAACCTGAATCGGGTATTAAGATTGGGTCAGCTTGACAAACGTTAATTTGATTGATTGATTTAAAAACCTCAATCCGGTTAAGCTTCGCACTGATCAAATGTTTGGATTGCAACCCAGATAGAAACAAAATAAAAAAATAAATATGTTTTTGAAAGACCCTTATTACGAAAATAAACGGAAGTATGTTGATCGTTTGAGCAGTTTCTGTTTAGATCGTGTTTTGAAATTTTCTCTAGAAATATTTTCGGAGTTCTTCCTCTCAACTCCGTAATTGTGGTTTGTTAGCTGTTTATTAATTTATTTGATAAGGCTCAATCAAATTAACTGTACAGAGCCGAGGATTCTTGGTCACTATACAATACATCTTAAAAAAAAAGCTCCAAAAAGCCTTCTTCCGTCAGAACGGGCGCCGCTTCCTGTGGTTTCATTGTATGGCAGATTCGCCAACGGGAAGCTTCCATTGCAGCAATGGACGCAAAACGTAACCAGCACCCACCCATTCATCACGAAACGGTTGCTTTTCAAAGTCGACGACGCATCGACTGAAAGAACTGCTGATGTAGAACAATTAGAAGGACCACACAATGGTTGCTGCCGAGAAAACAGACGATCGCGTGGCACACATTGAAAGAGGCCTGTTTTTGTCGACAGCCGAGTGAACACTGTAATTGCGGTTTGAACTACTTAATTAATAATAAACCTGGTTTTACAAGAGTGCTCTCGGTAAAATATGTTGCGTGAAATAAAAACAAATATTAATACTTCACCAATACTGGAGACACTTTGCTGCAATCTGATTTCAGTTCATAATTTAAAAATACCTTGACGTACCATCTACTCTACAATGTTTAAAACTAGATTAAAATCCCCTCACCACTCCAATGATGTACCAAGCTAAGTGACATGCCGACCAGACAAGCTGAAACGCTATAAATTACCATACTCTAGTATTTGTTATCTAATGCGTTACACGTTAGCTGAAAATCATATCCCTTACACAATATTATCCTATACCGAAAATCAACAACAACTGTGCAGCGAGAATTCACCAAACCGAAGTGAACAGCAAGTTTTAGCGCATCCCATCCAAGCAGCACACCAAACATCGCCTAATGTGTGCAAACACGCTGGCTACCCACCAATCCATCGTTGGTGCATTTCCGCCACCGCACTCGAACGACTATCGCAACCGCACCACCAACACTACATTGCTCCCACCGCACAGCAAAAATCATATCTCCATATGTCTCGCACCCGATCTGTTGTAACCGCACCGCAGCGCACTTTACCCGCACCGATATCTGTCGGCGTGCAAAAGTGACAGGCAGACAGTGCGAAATGAATTAATTATCCGTACTTCTCTACTACCACCACACCACATTGCCTGCAACTGTTATACTGTGTACTACCATACAACTACCGAAACTATTATGATTATTATTAAATTAATTGAAATGTGTAATTTTAATCTCTTTATCGCGTATGTTTGTAACGCAGCCAGAGAGCCGATGATGATGGGAGATGTGTGATGGGAAAAGAGAGAGAGAGAGAGAGAGAGAGACACGAGATGAGTTGATTTCAAACGGAGGAAAGGGACTAATAAATGTAGATATCCGTGGAGCTGGTTTGCAATTTTGGAACTTGCCGGTTGGGTACGATGCTGGACTAGCGGCAGGGTAAGTGGCTTTTTAGAGGGGAAGAATGATGATAGTCCCGCAGTCAAAAACATATAAATATTGTATCAAAGTGGAAAACTATTTGTCTGCAAATGGCAGAGCTATAGGCAGAAATGGAAACCAAGAAACAGATGCGGATTGAACAAATATGTAGCTAATTTATACATGAAAATAATCATAAAGATACAACTAATAAAACAAGGTAAATAAATAGTAGAAACTGTTATAAAACTGGCATTTTTATTGTTGATATGATGACAAACGTGTGGTACCTACAACTCGGTAGTGGTAGGACGAACTCGGAAATGATGTACAGTAAATAAAATTAAAGTTTAATATTCATCTTATTGTCGCGCGTCCGTTCCAGTGATGCCAGCGAGAAATTATGTTTTGATTATCAGTAGCATTCAAAATACATAATCAGTTTATTAAACTGTTTTTTTATTTGGTGTAGCGTATGTATTGGAGCAGTACAGAACCAAAAGGTTAAACATATGATTTGTAAAATGAGAATATATATATGATTGTCATCGAATTAATTAGATCAAATGAGAATTGAACAAGGATACTTTCGGTGTTTTCGACGCTATTGCTATTATCGTCGATGATGAACAAAGAAAGAATGGTTTTGCAGCGAGTAAGAACGTACTAATTATACAAAGCTAGTACCGCAAAGAGCACAACGTTAGTACAACGGTTATTTTGTACGTCTGTCGAAGGCCTTAAATGCATTTAAGCTAAATATGTGATTAATTATTCAATTTTAGCTGAGATACCTCACTTATATGATCACTACTTTTTTCAGAGTTATTCATGGTATTTGAGTTGTCATCGTCACTTTGTCGGTTTTCATTGCCTCCCGGTAGCTTGATTCTCCGAGTTTGGATGGCACACTTTCGGCTTGTAGTCCGGGAACATGCTGATAATGTTTCCGTCGCGAGTTTTGGTGGTGATACCTTGCCCGACGTTGCAGTGAATCAGCAAGTTTTCCGCTTTCAAAAAAGTGCTTGGCTGCTGGTCTCTCGCCAGTGTCGGAAATTGCGGCAATCTGAAAGATGCTTCGCTGGATACGCCCAATACTAAACGGGTGGTAGCTGATGGCCGCAAACGGTTCCTGGGGAAATAATTAGACGCGAATCTACTCCTAGATGACCAAGATGGAAATGCAAGAAAACTTATGTTCGTTGAAGGAAGTATTACGACAAAGGTGTAATGAGGTGCAAAGCGTAGAGAAAACCAAAACTACGGAACCCATAGATTGGAGGATCAAATTAACATGGTGAGGCTAGTCCAAGTTCTTTTTAAAAAAAAAAAAAAAGTAGAAGGGTATGGGCCTAGGGGCATGAACGGAAGCTTGACGTAGGACCGCAAGTGGACGAAACAAATGTGAAGATCATTTTGATCTTTTAATTGATCAATCATCAATTATCTCTTTCCGTTTTGATTTGTAAGCGTAATTTGTAGTATTTTTGTAGTATTTTGTATATTGTAGTATTTTTTTCAAAGAGAAAGTTGATTAAGAGAATCAATCAAAATCACTTGCACCCCTGCTTCCAAGTTTGGTAAGATTACAACTCTGGAGAGCATTTTGTGTGGTTGTTGGGGGCGTGTGGTTCTGAATATGGACAAACAGGCATTGATACATTCTATTCCAATTCTTTACTGTTATAAGTTATAAGCTTGCTTTACTGTTTTATTGTAGACGACACCCATATCCGCTTACGCTTGGCGTGTTAAGAGTTGGTGACAGCATCACGGATCACATTTTCCAGGAACACCTGCAGCACACCTTGTGTTTTCTCGTAGATCAGACCGGAGATACGTTTGACACCACCACAGCGAGCCAGACGACGGATGGTGGTTATCTCGAAGAACTTTGCGATGACGCTTGCCGCCTCTTTTACCAAGAGCTTTTCCTCCTTTGCCACGACCAGTCAATTGTTGCTTGTTCAGTTTATGCTAGACAGCAGCGCTATTTTATTTCTTTTCAAGTTAAAGCAGAATGATGTGCAACCAAGTGGTACTCGATTTTGACGACTGGGTTTGAGAAGAACGTTTATTTGTTTTCATGAAATAAACGTTCTTCCCGAATCATGACTTTTAATTTGTACATTGGACAATGCTTGACATTACCACTTCTTGAATAGTTTCTCGTTAAAAAATCATCAGCCAAAAGTATTGCTATGGATGCGAAGAAATATTTCTGTTCGATTGATGATAAAATTATAGAAATTAAGAACACATCTGGGGGTTGGCCCGTTGAAAAAATAAAAATAAATCTTCCATATAAATTTGGGCCAGTCTAATGCACAGTGGTCCAGAATGGAAATTTAGCAGGGAAAATGCATTTAGAGTCAGAAATTTAAATATTAAAAAAAAAATATTCACAGAGTTGTTGCTCACAGTTCAGATCTATAGAATTGATTGAATTTTGCATAAATATGGATTCGTAGGAGATATTCACAGAAACGCAGTATTTTTTAGGGATTATTTTTTTGTGTTTACTGTGATTTTTCTCTTGTTCGAAAAAGTTTTAAAGAATCAAAATGAATGCGTGCCCTTTCTACCACCGCTCATCACTTTAATGTGTACACAGAACAAATATAATATGTATCAATCAATGCTACTCATAATGATATATTGTAACTGGTAATGTCTTGTACAGGATACAGTGTTATAATTGTAACATGTTGTGTTGTAATAATTACCATCAAATAAAACGTCATCAAAATAGCCTTGTAATAATTTCACAATAAGTGGAATGTCCAATGTGCAGCTGTTTGGACGTACTATGCATCAAATCTGTATTCGTCTGATTAATAAGTGGTATGTGTCCCCAGTGGGATGCCTTGGCCCTCTTATCATTTCCAAGAGCTGAAAAAGAACTGGCATCACTGACAAGTTCGAAATAAGGAGGCTTGCTTAAAGCTTCAGTGGTGCCACCAAGACAAATGTGAGAACATTACCTGCTAAAACCTTATTTGCGAAGTATGTGATTGTGACTTTTATGTCTGTTTGTCTGTGCTATTAACTTTCGATCTGTAATTGGTTTTAACGATATGGATTTAATTAGGTATGAGAAAATATGATTTTATTCACATTATCAATTCTGCTCTGCAATAATGACGACAAATCGTTTTCTGATTGCTTACTCTTAATTGACAATCCACGTCCTATGACAGTTTCGATGAAAGTTTATTGATCTGCTAACTCTTGTTAATGGCTAGCTAGATGGGCTAGTTAAAAGGGATTCCCCTAACCTCTGGTCTAGCCACGGAGATCGTCTGGGGTGGGCTACACTCGCCTTGTTGGTTAGTCGGTCCTTACCTCCTTCGATGTTTGGCAGTGGAGATTATCCGCCGACTCCAACACTGATTGGGAAGTACCGGTTGGCTTAATACCGCCCGTGTGTTGCTGCTGATGGCGCCCTTTTTGGGGGAAGCGAGGTTGCGGGGAAACCAATTGTTTGGTGATCATATCCTAGAGGAAGTCACAGTTGGGTCCGGATATTTCTGGCCTTAATAATTACACAAACAACACTCGCGGATTGGGTTTTGAACAAAGTTTACACAAAAATAAACTACATTTATTGTATAAAAAAAACACTACATTGACTATACTAATGAATTTAATGGTACATTAATTAAAATGGAATTCCTCATCCCCGATGGGATATAACCGTTCTATGCGGCGACCGAAAAACAACTGGCTATCGTCTTCTCATCTGGTCATCGCTTGACCCGTGAAAGCGTAGACCAAATCTCCCTCTCACGTTCTCCGTCCGATCGGTCCAACTTCGTTTCGAACAGTTCTTCGTTGGTCATCTCAGCTGCTGCTCTCGATGTCCGCCGACCGTAGATGCCTAGATGACGATGATCGCTATCCTTTACGCGTTGAGTACCGGACAATAGGCACATTTGTGTTTTGTTCAAGATCAGCTGTAGCGGCGATGGTGATATTCCAGGGTTGTAGTGTTCTGGGTGGTTCAGTATCGTACATCCTCACCCACCCAGAAATTTGATAAAATTTCTGAAAAGAAATAAGAGAATCCTCTTCGGAAGGATGGGAGTTTTGGAAGGAGTTTGGATCAGGGTTTACGACGAAATATGCTGGGAATCTTGTTCTTCTTCATTGATAGGAACAGGAAGAATACAAATCTTTTCCACTGGACGTCTCAGTTCACCGGTAGCAGTCTTAATGGTCACGACTCTCGTAATGTTGTCTTCGCCAGGGTGCAGAGCTATGATTCTTCCCATCTTCCATCGGATCGGAGGGAGATTTTCATCCTTGATAATAACTAATTTTCCTGGTACTATGGGAATTGCTGGCTTCCATCTTTTGGCTCTAGCCTGTAGTTGGCTTAAATATTCCCTTCGCCAACGAATCCAAAAATGCTGCAGTTTCTGCTGGATCGCTTGGAACTTATTCAGACGGTTCGCCGGGATGGTGAGATGTTCGACGTCAGGAAGAGCTTGAAGAGACGAGCCTACAAGGAAGTGTGCTGGTGTTAACGGCTCCAGATCGTCCGGGTCATCTGACATCGGGGTTAACGGACGAGAATTAAGGCAAGCCTCAACCTGCGTAAGTAGCGTAGTAAAATCTTCTAACGAAAGTACTGCTTCTCCGATAACCTTCAGCAAATGTTTCTTAGAAGATCGGACAGCTGCCTCCCAGAGTCCTCCAAAGTGTGGAGCACTTGGGGGATTAAAGTGCCATTGAATATTGTCCTTGGCGAGTTCGGCACTAATTCGTTCGTTGTGCTCTCGATCCTTTAGCAAACGGAAGAGCTCTAATAACTGGTTCCTAGCGCCGACAAAATTTGTGCCATTATCCGAATAGATATCGGAGCATTTTCCTCTTCGAGACACAAATCGTCGCATGGCTTGCATGAACCGCTCTGTTGAAAGGTCAGAAACGAGCTCCAAGTGTACTGCCTTGGTACAAAGGCAGATAAACACTGCTACGTAAGCCTTCACGGCTGCGCGTCTCGGAGCAGGTCGGATGTACACCGGGCCAAAGTAGTCCACGCCTGTTTTCGCGAATGGTCGGGATACTGTAACACGAGATGATGGTAGCTCTCCCATGAATTGCTGGACTGTGGTCGGTTTGGTACGGTAGCATTTCACACAACGATGTACTACTTCTCTAGCTACGTTCCTCCCACCAAGAGGCCAGAATTGTAGTCGAATCACTCCCAATAGTAGTTGGGGCCCGGCGTGTAATAGCCGCTCATGAAAATGTGTCACTATCATACGGGTTAACTGGTGACGTGCGGGTAATACCGCCGGATGTTTGGTACTTTCTAGTTCATCGGAGTTCTTCAGACGTCCCCCTACTCTTATTAGTCCGTCCTTGCATACGTACGGGTGAAACCACCTCAGCGGTGACTTCCTGGATATTGATTCCCCTTTTATTAGCACCTTATATTCTTCAGGAAAGACTTCTTTCTGCACGTTGCGCACTATAGTATACTCAGCAGCTCTTAACTCCACAGTGGTTAAGAATCCGTTCTTAGAAAGCTCATTTCTTGGGACTCGTAGCAGTTCTATTAAACGCAACCAGTACGCTGTTCGTCGAATCAGGTCTGAATACGAACCGAACTTACTGAGGTACATATTGTTGAACGTTTCAATAGGTGACACTGTGCAAACAACAGCTGTACGACGCCTCTCTTCCTCTCCTGCTTCCGGTTCTTCTGTAGCTCCACCAGGCCACTCCCTTGGATCTGCCTTTAACCAATTCGGACCTTCCCACCAGAATTCGTTGTGGACAATGTCTTCGGGCGATAATCCACGGGAAATAAGATCTGCCGGATTGTCCTTTCCGGGTACGTGCCTCCATTTCCATCCATCGGTTGAACCTTGGATTTTCGCCACCCTATTGGCAACGAAAGTGGACCATGTTGCGGGAGGAGAATCAATCCAACGCAACACACACGTCGAATCCGTCCAAAAGTAAGTTGGAACTGATAACCTTGTCGAGGTCTTGACCTTGTCGTACAGTTGGGACAAGAGCAAGGCACCGCATAATTCAAGCCTTGGTATTGACTGACTTCGGAGTGGTGCTACCTTTGATCGGGACGATAGAAGTCGTACCTTCACTGTTCCATTGGCATCTTGACTTCGAATGTAGACGCAACCACCATACGCTCTTTCAGAAGCATCCGAAAAGCAGTGCATCTCCACAGTTGTAGCGTTGGGTATAATAACACAGCGGTCGACGCGAATTTGATTGAGAAGTGGAAGCTTTCCGTGGAATTTCCGCCAGCTCTCACCCACCGTTGGTGGTACTGATTGATCCCAATCCAATCGGTTGCCGTTCCTGTCCTCTAACGTCCACAGGTGCTGCATCAATATTTTGGCAGCTGCTGTCGTGGCACCGATCAGGCCAAGCGGATCGAATAACGTAGCGATTATTGATAGGATACGGCGTTTCGTTAATGGGACATCAGGATCTAACTGCGGAACTTCGAACTGGAATCGCAGGGTATCGGTGATAGGCATCCATGTCAAGCCCAATGTTTTGACAGACTGGTTGGGATCCAAGTTGATTCCAGTATTATCAGGAATAGCCAGATTCTCTGTAGACACGCCTTCCAAAACTGCGGGAATATTGCAGGACCATTTCCTGAGCTTGAAACCACCGCATTCCATCATCTCCGTTAGTTGAGATCTGAGAGATATAGCTACGTCTAACTCATCCGTGCCAGTGATTACGTCGTCCATATAGACGTCCTCACGTATTGCTCTTGATGCGAGCGGAAAACGGATTTCTTCATCAGCTGCCAGCTGCTGAAGAGTACGAGTTGCTAGAAAGGGAGCGGGTTTGGTTCCATACGTGACGGTTTCTAGCTCGTATACCGTAACGTCCTCGTCGGGTGAAAACCGGAGGAGTATCGACTGTAGTGGTCGATCCACTGACGAAGTAAGGATCTGCCGAAACATTTTCTCAACATCCGATACGAGGAGAATCTGCTTTGTCCGGCTCCGTAGAATGATTGCTCTCATATCCTCCTGCACAACTGGTCCCACCAGAAGCACATCGTTCAAGGACACTCCGGATGATGTCTTGCATGAGGCGTCGAAGACAACCCTGAGCTTGGTGGTGGTACTCGCCTCCTTGACCACCGGATGATGAGGTAGATAACACCGTTTGGTTGACTCCGTTGCGACGTCTTCGACCCTTCGCATGTGCCCCAATTTCAGGTATTCATCCATGAACGCGACGTACTGTTCCCGTAAATTGGAATCCCTTGCCAACCGTCGTTCTGTTCCAAGAAGACGTCGGAATGCGATGTCCCGTGACTCGCCAAGAGTTGGAAGAACCTCTTCATTTTTTGGTAAGGGAACAGTGTACCGACCGTCCGAACCTCTTTGGACCCCACGTTGGAACAGCTCCTCACAGAGTTTTTCTTCTGGAGAAAAGGAATTGGAGAATTCTACTTCTTCGCATAACCAGAACCGTTCCATCAGCTTCTCCAGTTCCATAGTGGCTGAGAAATGGCAGCTGATTTGAGTGGATCTGCTTGGTGTTGAGCAGCCACCATTGGCTACCCATCCGAATACCGATTCCGCGAGGTTTGGGAGATGGTTCTCGATAGAAAGTCTTCGCCCAGTTTCGAAGAACTCGAAGAAATTCTCGATGCCTAGGATGATGTCGACTCCCTTGGATTGGAAGAAAGCTGGATCCGCCAATTGGATTCCATCCGGTAACTTCCATCCTTCCATGTTGATTGGGGTTGTGGGCAAATTCACGGTAACCTTGGGTAATACTAGGAAGCTCATATCCCGCGAATATTCCGAAACTCGCGAGCGAACCATCATTTGAACCTGGTACTTGGCTTTGCTGGTTGTCTGCCCTATACCAAGAACTGAAATGTCGACCCTTTCTCTGGATAATTTCATTCGTTGGCTCAGTCGCTCCGAAACGAAGTTACTTTCAGCGCCAGAGTCCAGAAGAGCTCTAGCGTTGAACCTTGTACCAAAGTCGTCCTCGACGATGACCACCGCAGTCGCTAGTAGAACTGGCGATGAAATCTTCTGAGCCACATTGCATGTCGTGGTGTTCGTGGTCGCCCCGCTAGCCGGTTGATTCGAATTGGAGCTCTTGGAACCTTGAGAGTTTGAGAGATTATTCCTCCCAGCAGCTGCTGCGGCCATGGTAGCGCCCTTCTCCGGTTGGAAGCACACTAGGGTATGGTGCCGACGATTACACTTCCGACAGGAGAACTTGGATTGGCAATCCTTTGCCTGATGACCGGATCGGAAGCAATTTCGGCAGAGTCCGTTGGATTTCAATAGTGAGTCCCTGTCCGCCACGGATAGTCGTTGGAATGCGGAGCATTGATATAGAAGGTGGTTGTCCTCACAAGCCACACATCTTCCCCCGCTCGATTGAACGGAATTGTAACTGGCCTTCAGCGCTGGAAATTTGGGTTTTGGAGCCGTTTGTTGGTTGTGGACGCCCTTGGAGTCTGCTTGCCTTGGAGGGAGTGATTCCAGTACTTGGATCCGCTTACGAAGGAATTCCGTGAGCTCCTCCAGCGAATCTTGTTCCTTGGAGGCCGAACATTCTTCCCAGGCACGACGGGTGTATGGATCCAACCGCATGGTGATGAGATTTACCAGCAACAGGTTTGTAGTCCGCTGGTTCGATGATCTGATCGAGGGTTTGAATGTTACGTTCGAAGCTTTCAACAAAGTTGCGCAGTTCGGATACGGATTCCTTACTTAGGGTCGGAAGCTTCAATAATGATTGGACTTGCTTCTTCTTCAGCAACTTGTTGTTGTTGTATCGCTTCAACAGTGTGCCCCAAGCGATTTGATAATTGGTCTTGGTAATCTTCAACGAGTCAATCAGGTTTTTCGGCTCCCCTTGAAGACACCCTTTGAGGTAATGGAACTTCTCCACCTCGGGCAAGTCGGTTCTCCAATGAATCAATGAGGTGAACAAGTCCCGAAAACTCAACCAGTCTTCAATGTCACCGTTGAACGTCTGGAGTTGAATTTGTGGTAACCGGACGTGATCGACAACACCTGATATTGAATGTTCATGGGAGGACTGTTCTAACTCCGGCGAAACACGAAGCTCCTTGCTCTTATCCAATAGGAAGGTTTTAGCCTCATAATAACGATCGCTCAAATGCTTGCGTAGCTTCCCATAGTAACCCTCTTCATCCTCAAAATCATCCTGAGATTTTAGCTCAACCAAGCTCTCGCTAAATCTCTCCCACAAGTCATCAATCCTTGACAATCGAATTTCTACCTGAGTAGCAGTGTTACTATCAGAAAACTTCTGGATAAAAGACCAGATGTCATCGAATGAGGATTTGAGGTCGTCCAACTGAACCCTCAGCTGCTTCAGAGTTGCTGATCCTTTCCGGGTGGTAGGTGGCATGACGATATGATGTCGAGCAATCGGTAAAAGAAGTAATTGTGTAGTATACCGTGTATAGTCTCCGCTTCGGCGGACATATACTGCTCGCTATTACTGACCTGGCGGAACAGGTAATTGTTCTATTGCAAATCCAATTTGAACCAAAATAGCAAAGGTCCAATGACGTCACATCAATCAATTGCCTCGGTAGGGACCACTCGATTCCAGGTTGAAATTCAGGGAAGAGGAGAAAGTGGGGTGTAAAATCCAACGAAAGACACGCCTCGGCTGGGCATATACTGTGGCAACCTACCTGGAGGTACCAACAGTAGTACCGATCCAAAATTTGCGAAATTCCCACTCCAATTGGTACAATTATCGCCTTGATTGCAATCAATGCAATCTCCAAAACGTGTGTGTGCAGGATAGTGTGAAGAGGAATAGTTGGTATGTAGCAATCGTATGGCTAGCTTCGGTAGACATATACCGTGTAACTAACCTGGAGGACTAACAGCCAATAAATAAAATCAGTCGAGAATGCAAAACTGGAATTTCAGCAGACTTGCTCTAACGAGCAGTTCAATGGCAGGGCTTGCGTAGTAGTAAATGAAGAGGATTCACAGGAATTTGAATTACAATGGTGTATTTTCTGCATGCCTAGCGTCGGCAGTACATATACAAATTGTTCACTCACCGAGACGGCAATAAATTGGTGTTTCCTCTTCTACCGATATCCACAATCGTCCAATGTTCTCGTGGGAACTGATACCAGGCTCGGATGCGAAGCTATCGGTACCCGTTGGTCCACCGATCGGCCGAATCTCGCAATCGCAAGATACTAAATCCTCGATCAAGGTAAATAGAAGCGACGGTTGTCCAATTGTCCATCCATGCAACGAATCAGCATGCATCGAAAGTTGGCATTAGTATCATGCAATATAAGCTTCGACTAGACATATACCGAACTAATGAGTATTTACCTGCAAAAACAGTTACTCCGACTGATTCGGTGCTCCAGTATAAGCGGTGAGGTCCTCCAACAATGGGCGATATATTCCAAACTCAGCCCTGATGATGGTGGTTTTGGCGCAATGCAGCTGTACAAAGCCGTTATTGTCCTCGGTGAATGGCGATCCTTAACAAAACCTTGATTCCGAGATGGCGGTTCCTCTAAATGTGCACTAGTTTCGCAGCAGTCGCAATGGCGGTTTTCCGCGTTCGTGATAACAGCATCCAAGCGTTGCTCGACCCAAGCAACGACGGTGACTTTCCTTCCGACTGGTCTCCGGGTGTGGTCTCCGGGTGTGGTATCCGGTTCGAAGGACCAAATGTTGGTTAGTCGGTCCTTACCTCCTTCGATGTTTGGCAGTGGAGATTATCCGCCGACTCCAACACTGATTGGGAAGTACCGGTTGGCTTAATACCGCCCGTGTGTTGCTGCTGATGGCGCCCTTTTTGGGGGAAGCGAGGTTGCGGGGAAACCAATTGTTTGGTGATCATATCCTAGAGGAAGTCACAGTTGGGTCCGGATATTTCTGGCCTTAATAATTACACAAACAACACTCGCGGATTGGGTTTTGAACAAAGTTTACACAAAAATAAACTACATTTATTGTATAAAAAAAACACTACATTGACTATACTAATGAATTTAATGGTACATTAATTAAAATGGAATTCCTCATCCCCGATGGGATATAACCGTTCTATGCGGCGACCGAAAAACAACTGGCTATCGTCTTCTCATCTGGTCATCGCTTGACCCGTGAAAGCGTAGACCAAATCTCCCTCTCACGTTCTCCGTCCGATCGGTCCAACTTCGTTTCGAACAGTTCTTCGTTGGTCATCTCAGCTGCTGCTCTCGATGTCCGCCGACCGTAGATGCCTAGATGACGATGATCGCTATCCTTTACGCGTTGAGTACCGGACAATAGGCACATTTGTGTTTTGTTCAAGATCAGCTGTAGCGGCGATGGTGATATTCCAGGGTTGTAGTGTTCTGGGTGGTTCAGTATCGTACACGCCTCTTTTGTTGGCTAGCTCGAGCTTGAAACCCTGGAGCTTCAAGGTCGGCTCCTGTCTTGTCGGCACTGATCAAAAGTACAAAACACCTCTTTATCACTTTTCACTCGTTTATTACTTACGATTTCGGTGTCTGTAGTGTGTATGTGTGTGTAGGGATGGCCAGCGATGACGGGATTCTGCAGCGGGTGGGGTTTTTCGGCGGCGGATGAACGGACTGCTCACGGTGGATGCCAGTACTCGACGGTTATCACCGTGTGGCACGACGGATGTTGTACTGGGACTCGATCGGATGATCGACGGTGGTCTCCCAGTGGTCGTCGGTATATAACCGATGGACGCTTGCTACACGGGTGTTGGCGTATTAACGGACGCCCTCGTGGTTTTAGCCCGTAATTAATGGGTCCTGAGGGGAATATGAGAGGTGGTCTTAGGGCTGGGAATTCCGCTACCGGGTTATTGATTGGGTCCTACCTGACTCCGTATTCGGTGATATTAGCCGGTATTTGTTGGTAACTTTTCACTAATTTTTCCAAAACTTATAGCAAACTTGGCAGACTGTACTATCTCGCGCAATGGCTGAAGTGAAAGAGAACCTTCTCTTCAGTTTAACCCAGTAGCTTCCCCCTTGACCTAAGCCCATTTCCACCTCCCTCCCACTTTTCCACGACCCCTTGTCCATATCCTTCTCCTGTTTCCAACGCCCACCTTCATCCTTACTCCTTCCCGTTATGTGTTCTGTGTTATGTGTTGTTGGTGTGACTGGGTTACAATATTTAATTGGACCGTTGGTTTGGGAGTGGTCTTTCATTTGCCTTACATATTTAATTATATTTACATTCAAAACAAGACAATATTGCATACAAGAAACTGACATACAGATTGAATTCACAATGAACACACATATACCCTGTTCCTCGCTCTCGCTATCTCCTGATTTTTCTCGCTCGAAGTGAACCAATAGGGTACAGGAACCAAAACGGTAACACTCTTCCACCCTTCCACACACACACACACACATCCTCATGTTGATTCGAGGGACTGTCCAGTGGTTGTATTACCGGCAACAAAGACTATACATTCTTTGGCAAAGCTCAGCTAAGCTCTAGCAGCTTTGATGAAAAAAAAATGTATCTCTCTTAATGGCTAATTTAGAGCAGTTTTCCTCAATTGACTTAGGGTTTCTATAAAAAGAAACAGTTTTATTACTCTTTTTTGTTTTATTTTAAATGCCTCAGCAAAGTTGTCTGGAGTTGACTTCAAGAACTTTTGAAGACGCAATTTTAACTGCGCAGAATTTGATGATATCTTTTGCTGATCAAAAGTAATTGACGTTTTACTTATGAAAGTACGCTTTTTTTTATATATTAATTTCTCTGACTGTGAGAAACATGAAAAAAAAACTTTTGACGGCTCTTAAAAGGGTGTATATTTTTCTACATAATATTAAAAAAAAAGTCTGCATAGTATAATTTTATGTTTAAACTTGTATAAAATCATTTCAAATCATTTTTTTGAACATATATAAGATAGAGTAAGAACTTCTTTGGCCTAAGCGCCCATTTTGGGCCTAGCAAGAAGAAAATATCTAATAAATCCATGATTTCGGCGTTAACAGGTAAATTATGCGTTTGCTACGATGTATTAGTTCAAATGCTACCGAACGAAGTCCGTAAGAACGCGTGATATGCATTTTGCACCTAATATTCTCAAAAACAAATGAAGCGCTCCGACCGAATCAATCTTTATCTTCATCTGATAGGCCGAAGTGAATTCATTGGCGTTTCAATGGCGTTTCAATGTGTTAGGCCGAGTTTAAAATCCGTAGACCGAGTTTGGTGTCAAAAAGCAGTGTTAGACTTTTAAGAATATCTCAACAATTTGTTTCTCTTTATCATATCTTATGGTACGTACGGAAAGGTAAATAAATTTAGAAGTCATGAGTAATAATAACATTCCGTTCGGTGCTAAACTACGCTAGATTAAGAAAGACTACCGCTATACAATCGCCAAGTGTGGGTTGTATAATATCTTTAAAAAAAAGAGAAAGTCAGAGTCGAGAGACTTTTAAAGCACCATGTATTTTTATAAAAACACCGCCTGTATCTCTTTTTATAACGAAGCTATACCCAGTTATATTAAAAAAAAAATTAACAGGGTCCAGCTGATTTTTAGAAGTCAAAAAAATAACAAATCTCTAATATTTTTTTTAAATATATTTGTTGTTATATGCCCTTTCAAATGCTGTAAAAAAACATGATTTACATTTGCCGCAACCTGAGATATCAACATACAAGAAGGGCATATTTTCATCAGAAAAAAATTCAATAACTCTTGATCGGCAAAAAAGTATCGACAAATTCTGCCAAAAATCGCGCTTTCAAAAGTTCTAAAAGTTATCTCCAGACAACTTTGCTGAGAAATTTGAAATAGCATTTTATAGAGACACCCTATTAATTGGTCAACTCAAGAAACATAAAAAAACAAGTTTTGATCAAAGTTGCTTGCAAAAAGCTGAGCTACAACTTTTTCAAAGAATGAAGAAACCTTTATTCCAGCAAATAATTTTTTTTTTTTTTAGTGCAACCTCCATTTACCAACCAAACCGGGGGTTCGTAAAACGCTGTACAGACTGGAGAGTTATAACATGTTATAACGGTTGTCAAATAATTACAACACAGAAACCACCATCAAGATAGCGCTATAACATGTTATAACTCTGTAGTCTGAACGTACTATAAATCGAATTAGTGCGTTTAAAAAACTCGTTATTTGAGATTTACTTCGTAAATGAGGTATTTGAAAATATTGTCCAATACTCCACAATATTGACAATATTGTAGTTTTGGAATTGGAGTGACATGTAGAAACCAAAAATCCATGTCAGACGCCATTTTAAAATCCAAAATGACGACATCCGGTTACAGAAAAACATAGAAATACTGTCAATACCCCACAGTAAGGATATTTTTGGAATCGGGATGACCTGTAGGGACTGG